AATCCCCGCAATTTAAAATTTTTAGAGTTTTGATAGTTTTTAATTTCTTTAAGTTTCCCCTTTTTAATAACCTTAATGGAATTCCAAAACTNCATACTTTAAAAGCAGGAGCGGCCCCAGCAGCAATTCTTGGGGGGGTGGTAAAATTTTTCAACATATATCGTGTATATAAATTTAAAAATCCCCGCAATTTAAAATTTTTAGAGTTTTGATAGTTTTTAATTTCTTTAAGTTTCCCCTTTTTAATAACCTTAATGGAATTCCAAAACTTGCAAAAGATTTACGGACCTTTACGCGTTGGTGATGGCGAATATCGCAGACGATTTAACGATGAGCTGTATGAGCTTTACTGCGATATAGACATAGTGCAGCGAATTAATATTCAGCGGCTCCGCTGGCTTGGCCATGTCGTTCGAATGAGTAGAAACGCTCCTGCTCTGAAAATCTTCAACGCGGGCCGCGATGCTGGTAACAAAGGAAGAGGAAGGCCTCCTCTGCGTTTGGAAGACCAGGTGGAGAAGGACTTAGCTTTATTTGGCATTTCCGATTGGCGTCAGTTAGCACAGAAGAGAAATGACTGGCGTGCTGTGTTGGACTCGGCCAAAATCGCTTAGACGGTTACTGCGCCAATAAAGAAGAAGCAGAAGAATTGCATGGAAAATGATATTTATTGCCCTCATTTGCTTAAAAGGCAAAAATATTTCACATAATTTTACTTATTTTTAACAGCTGACGACCGACGCACGCGATCTTTCTGCTTTCTGTTGGCGTTAGCGTTGCCAAATTCAACGCCAACGCAACGCCAAAGTTGTGGGTATGTGGACCGGCCTCTATTTTTACGCAAATTTTCCCATATCTACATATACATATACATACATACATATGTACAAATGTCCTTGAACACCAATCAACAAATAAATTTTTTTACCAAGGATTATATTTCATCAGGTATACAGTAGCGTGGCCGAAAATCCGCTTTTTAGAATTTTTATTGGTAATAGCAAAAATATGGTTCACTATGCTCTAAGAACAATCTGTGTGAAATATGATAATTTTTGGTCAAGATCCAAGTCCATCAAAGTTCAATATGCTCAAAAAATAAAAATTAATAAACAAACTTGGGCGAGCCTAGGATATTGACCAAAAATTTCCACATTCCAGACACATAGTTTTTAGAGCATAATTACCAATCAAAATTCTAAAAAAGCGGATACAGCATAACTGCTACAAGTAGCAAACTATTTTGGGGCTGTTAGTGCTTAGTCGCTGCGAGTCCGCGTGGCGCGCGGCATGAAGGCAAAATCACCCGTGGCAGGAGCGACAAAAATTAATAACTACCCTGACGGAAACAAGTGATTTTTTTTTTAAATCAACTTATTGAAAGACTACTTTAAAACAAATGCAATGAGTAAATGTTTCGAATTTTTATACTCTTTGCTCAAAAAACAATTTGTGTCTTGGAAGTATGAAAAAGCATCTGTGAAGTCCAGAACACAAGCGTATTCAAAGAAACATACTGACTTTGAAGTTGTGTAAACCAAATTCATTTTAAAGTACTTGAAATTAAATGCAGAGTCGGACAGTCGACCTGCAGCTTGCACACAATTCAAGCTGAGCATTTGAAAGCGCATTTACATGTCTGGCTGTAGCTGAGCGTGCAAAGGTGTTTGCTACAATTGGTCGCAGCCAAGAATGTCCATGTTCAAATCTCATTTAATTTTTAATTTCGGTTTTTCTTAGTTATGAAAAATCATCTGTGAAGTGCAGAACGAAAGCGCATTCAAACGAAACATACTGACTTTGAAGTTGTTTAAGCCAAATTCGTTTTAAAGTAACTGAAAATACATGCAGAAAAAGGCAATTAACTGCTTCCTAGGACATTGCCATGTTAAATAAATGAGTTCCTTGCAGGTAAAATAGTGAGAATTTCAATTAGTTATCATTGCAAATAAAGTAGTTTATAAATTACTTTCAAACTAATTCAGTTTCTTGCAGGGTAGCGACTCCGTGCAAGTGTCCGTGTTTTTTTTTTCTTTTAAACAATGTATTAATAGAATAAGGATTGATATTCAATGTAAGCGATTAAAAACTCTGATCGAGAAGTAAAAATACTTCCATTTGTTTATACATATTTTTTTTTTAATTAAAAATGTTATACAAAATAATGATTGTTTGAAAAATTGAAACAATCAGGTTAAAGCATGTCTAAATAACTATTATCGTGGAAAAGATTAGCAAGATAAATGTTATGAATCAGTGGATAATAAATAATTACTGAATTCATCAAAAAAAGTTAATAACAATAACTTTTGTAAAAATTCGAATTTTGCAAAATTGTTCAAATTATATTTTTTTTATGTTTGTAAACCGAATAAAGTTTTTTGTTCGAAGAAATCTTGACCATCCAATTTTGGGTGGCCCCACCTGAGATATTTTCACTCATATACAAAAAAGAAAAAAATATTCCGACGAATTTATAGCCTTGAAGTCGGTTAAAATGTTTGAGTTCTTTGTTAATTTTATGTAAATAAAGTGCAATTTATGAAACTTTAAAAAGTGTATTTATTTATTACCTACTGTACATAAAACTTGCAAAAATGTTAAAATATTATCTGAAGCGAATTTTCAGTATTTTCTGGTGATATATCTCTAGAAGTAGGTTGGGATGGAAGTCTGGTAGGGATGAAACGATAAGAGTAAATACAAGTACATATACGATATTTTTCCTTCGATACCAAATAATTTTGGTATCGATAATTTTGAACCAAGTACTGAGTAGGTATCGAAACCCGATACCAAGAGGAATTTTCTTTTGCAATTTTTTCCTACACTAATATGAATTAGCCAGTGCTTATGGCTGCTTAAACGCCAGCGACCTTCAAATATTGAAGATGTTTTTTTCCTGAAAACAGTACGCTTGAACTCTTTTAACAGATATTTTTCCTATTTTTGCATCAGGGAATCCATTTCCAAGGTAGCAAAAACCAAAAAATCTATTTAAAATATTTTTTTAAGTTCATTGAACGCTGTTCTTACGTCAAAAGGATAAAAATCCAAAGATTTTTCTTTTGCCTTAAGGCCAAGGTAATTTTTCGTTCAAGGTCTGATACCTTTAAAATTAATTTCAAAAGTAAAATTTTTGATTTTTTATCTTTTTCTACCTAAAAACAACATGTAATAAACTTTTTAAAAACAATTTCGATTTTTGCGATAAAGGAATGGGATTCCTTCATGTACGAGCAGCAAAAATATGGGTTTAAAACTTTTTAAAAATATCATTGCATACCGGTTTCAGGCCAAAAACAGGAAACAAATTTAAACCATCTTTTTTTGAAAGTCATTTTAAAGGTCATTGTAATTATTCAAACAAACTAGGCTATTTTTCCTGAATTCCCCATCTCAAAAGCTTTGAAACACCGTTACATTTATTTCGCTATCTCTTCTCGTTTGATTTTGTCCCTTTTTTTCAAAAATAGAACACTGTGCGCCATATACACGGCCCAACGTACAGAGTAACGCTATTATTCTTCGTGCTAAAAACATTATCGGACAATATTAAAGATTATGGAAACTAACTAGCTCTGTTACAGAAAAAATAAGCAAAGGAGAAAAGAGTAGGGTGCAAAGCATGGATGAAAAAAAAAAGTTATCTTAGAAAAAACTAAAATGTTTAACGTAGCCCAGCCCAGAAATTTCGAGTGGAAATTTAGCTTTACAAGAACTCACCGTATAAAATCCGTTACTTTTTTACTATAAGAGATATACACCTGGAATTTCGGCAACTTATAAACGAAGGTACAGTATATCTGCCTACGATAAAAAATCAAATTGGACTTCCCAAACCCCCGAAATTCAGCATCCAAAATGAATATTGGCACTGAGTGCCCAACTCACGGTTGTAAGGTTAAACGAGATTAACTGCTTGTAAACTTTCCCAAAGTATTTTCTCTGTTAAATATCATTCATCATTAAACATGTGGCTTTGCTAAGTTATGTTGTTTTATTTTTTTTTCAGTTCCTAAGCTATTAACTTTTATTTTTCTTAGTTTAGGATTCGCCGAGCAGGATTAATTTATTGCGTAAATGTTTAAATTTAATCCCGTTCATACGGAATAACTTCATAGCCAGAAGTACCGGAACGAGTAGGTATCGATACTTTAGATCCGATATTTTTCGGGTATCGATACTTTCTTACGATACTACTTCCAAGTAAAGGTATCGATACTTGCATGGCATCGTTTCATCCCTAGCCCTTGGTCATACATGTGTACTCCTATACATATGCATATATTCCATTAGTTGGCTTCGGAGAAAAGATATTAAAATCCAAGGTATTAATTGTAATTACAAATGCAAAAAACATGCAACAGAAATCTTTGTTGCTCCCGGCTGCGAGGTGGAAATACCTTTATGTACACAAAAAAAAATAACAAAATAAAATAAAGAGAAAGAAGAAATTGCATGTCCATAAAGCTTTGAAGTACACAGCTTTAGAGAAAGGAAAAAATTAGTGCAGTTTAAGTAAAAAGGGCAACACAAAACTAAGCACTCCATGGCACCTCTACGTCTGCAATAAGCCATTTTCCCTCCAGTTGATTTTAATTTTTGTAACGACAAGCGTTAGCGCATTGTTATTATTATTATTACTTTTTTGTTAACAAAACGCAACCCCATTATTTTTATCAGTTGCCTTTTCGTGTTGGCATTGTCTGCGCATTTTAATGTTTTAAAGGAATCCTCTTATCTCTCAACTCCATTCTGTGCCAAAACGGAAAGTTTTAAAATATTGAAAAAGTTTTAGTTGTATTTTTGCATGTTAAATTTTCTCTGCAAAACGCAAATACATTCCCATATCACTAATGCCCTGCAGTAAAATTTAGAGACAGTCTGAAAAAGCGCTAATTCCGAACTATACATTTGAGATCTATCTCTGAACTAGTGTAAAACGGATGCAGATCGAGGCAATTGAAACTTGCGGTGTAAATATGCAAATGCTCACTACTCGTACAATACAAAAGTAGCTCAGCGAGAAGACATCCGACTCAAGCATCTTTGGTCGCGAGTTCAAATCGCGGTGGAGGCAGTTGTGAGTTTCCGAATTAAATGAATTTAAACTGTTTCGTGCAGCTTACAAATAATTTTAATTTTTGTTTTTATAAAATATGTAATAGAAAAGAAAAAAATGAAAAAGGTATCCAAAAATGGAATCTTAAAAACGCAAAGTAATGCACTGGGAGGAATTGCCACCGCCAATGACATCGCCGTGTAAAACTGGACAGTTGAAAGCATTGCTTGGGTACTAGTACTGTCGGCAAAAGGTATAGTTCTACGCTAGTTCTGAACTAGTCAGATTTTCTGCAGGGTTAGAGTGGAAAGTTGCTGAGTCAATTTCTACAAATTTTAAAGGGGAGGAAAAAATTCGTATAACCATTTTCTTCAAGTATCTTGCAAAACTTTGAACACAACATTTTGCTTGCTTAAAGCAAAGCAAAACTACACACGAGTCAACAGGATTTGATGTTAATTAAACGATTTTCTATTACTTTTTGGACCTATCGAATTTCCTGTGCCTCTTTTGGGTTTAGCAAATGTGGCTCTCATTGAATATAAACTGAAAGAAATAAAAAGTAATTACCTCAATCCTTTTGGAAACGATGCTTTTTTAATTTATCTTTCCTCCTATATCATAGTTTTTGCAAAAAGTTTAACCTAGCACTTTTTCAATCTAAGCGAGCGATATGTTTTTCGCCGATATTTTGCTACTTTTAGAAAGGCAATACCCGTATTCGTAGATGTATTTATTATACATGCAAATTGAATCCTTAAAGTATTTTTTTCATATTTCATTACATTGTTTCCCCCTAATATTCTATGCCATTAGTTTTTTTTTAAATCTGTAGTTATTAGATATGCATTGCTTGCATAAATAACTTAAGTTATTTTTTAGTTTACATTGTTTGGAAAGACACCATTGGTAGCTATGAATACATGTATGAATGTTTAACATAAACTAAAGTTGTTTATTCTATCTTCACTTCTTTTGTCTTTTACAGAATGTGTTTTGTGCCGACTTAGCCATAAGCATACCTAATAATCAAGGACTGGACAATGTTTTTTATCGCATCGACTACAGTCCGCCATATGGTGATCCAGCGCCAAACACCACAATACAGTCGCGCGAAATAGGCGAGGAGATACAGTTTTCCCATGCCCTTCCCGGTACCAAGTACAATTTTTGGTTGTACTACACGAATTACACTCACCCTGATGTACTGTCGTGGACAGTGACAATTACCACAGGTAAGTAAATAATGACAATAATCTCGATAGCTTTACTTACAGCTTCGCCAAACCGAGATATTTTGCATTAGTTAAATTTTGAAGCAGTCAACTAGTTCTGTTCTTTTTTTTTTAAAGGTTTTTAACTCAAGTATAGTAATAACACTGTAGGGATGCTAAGATATCACAAACAGCGCTCAACTTAATATTGGCTCGTTGATTACGGATATGTATACCATTTTTCTAGAGCAGGATGTGAATGAAAAAAATCAAACTTATATTTATGATTTTCTTAATTGTAATAAAGCTTATTTAAAAAAACAACACCAACGAAGAAGATCATTGGATAAATAATGTTGTGAATAGTAAAATAAATATGCGCAATGATTTCATACAAAAAAAAATCATTGGGTGTTTTCATTTCACAAATGGCTATTTTTTTAGCCCTCGATTTTCTTCAGTGGTAGCCTGATTTTTTGTAGCAGAACAGGCTTTAATGAAAGTTAAAAAACCTGAAACAATCTGCTCTTTTAAAATTTTTTCCCAGTTAAGATATGAATTTTTTTCATTCACAATGCAGATCCGTAATCTACGACCCAAAATTAAGTTTACGTGTCTCGTGTCTTGTGATATTTCAAAAATTGAGATTTTCCTTACCGAATCACTTTGTTGGGTAATAACATTGATGCTTTTGGTTTAGCTGAGGGAGAGACAGAGACCAGGATAGAGATAGGGGAAGTTGGAATTACCTTTTGTCAAGAGCAGTGTTGCCAGGTTTTGAATTTGAAAAAGTACTAAAACCCAAGAAAAGTCGCGTTTTTTCTCGAAAAAAGCACCACATTTTTATTGGAGTATTTAAATGTTACAATTTTCTCCGTTTTGGTTAATTTTTTCTACAATTCCTAGGAAACGAAAGCAAAAACCAAAATTGAAGTTTCATGAAGGTTGTGGTAGTTTAAATCTACACTGCAGTCTCTTATGATCTTGTGAACTAATGGAACATAAAGAACTTTTCTTTCGACCGCTTAGCACCTGAAACATAATGAAATTTGATTTTCCTTTTCAATGTGTCTTATAGCGTTTTCTTTTCTCGAAATAATGTTGCATTTATTCTGCCCTGCGCAAAGGCTGTCAAGATTTCCTGTTCCTTTCTCAGTATCTTCACATGCATTCTGCGTTCTCTTTCTTTAAAATGTTGCACCCTGATTATTGCCATATAAAAAGGTGGCATTTTTTTCGAGAAAAGAAAACGCCGTTATTTCAGCGTATTCACTGGAGCATAGTGCGAAAAATATTTTTGTGTCAAAAAAGCTATCTACTCTTCAAATCCCACTCGATTTTAATTATTCTCCTTTTTCAAAAGGTTCGTTAGATATTAATTTTACTGTTAGGAGATGCTGCTGCTTTTTTGAATAGTCGTAAAAAATATAACAAATTCAGCCCAAACTAAAGGTCTAAAAGGCGATTCCTGGTCCCAGAAATGGCGAATTACCGAATGTAAGTTTGACATGATTGAAATGGCTGCTACATATTTTGTTGGTAAACATATGCTCTCCGCATATGATTATCATTGTGACATGATTTTGTTTAGAATTTTGTAAACTGGCTTAAAAAACTTACGATTGCTATAAATTTTGCCCCCCTTTTTGTTAAGATTTACAGATTTGGTGTTTTCAAACTAAAAACAAAAGCACCAAAAAACGCACTAAGAACTAAATTCTAAAATTTTCGCGTTTTGAATAAAGAAAGGCTCTAAATTTAGTGCGAAAAGCACCAAGTTGGCGACAGTGGTCAAGAGGTATTCAAATCAAGTACTCACTTTACAAGCATGATGTGAGAGAGAGAGAAAAGGCAGATGAGGCGTTGGCGCAGCACGCACATTGTTTCGACTTTATGGAGGCAGGTGGAAAAGGAATGATGACAGCTGATTAAAAAATCGGTTGGGCTTAGAGAGGGAAAAGTGAAAGTCGTAAATACACTGAGAGAAAAATCAATCAAAAATTGGTTAATATTACCAAATTCAGACTTGAAAAGGAATCAACGTGATTTTTGGTTAATATTAACAATGCCTTGGTTGATATTTTCGACAATGATTTGGTAATATTAACCACAATTTTTTTTACATTAACCAAACTTTTGGTTGGCGATTAGTTCGTTTCCATACGCTTATGTTCTGCACTTCACAGATGCTTTTCCATAATTCGGAGATACAAAACAAAAATATTTATTATAATTTTAACACGTTGCCTCTGGCGGAATATGCAAATAACAGCAAGCATCTCCACAAACTCAGCTACAGCCGCTTTATAAATGTGTCTTCAAATGTTCAACTTGAAACGTTTGATTTTGTTCTGCACTTCACAGAGGCTTTTTATTAATTAAGAAAAACCAAAAACAGAAAAAAAATAAAAATTATGTATCGCGCTGATGGCATTCGTACTGCTGGAAGCCAACAAATAACAGAAAGCACCATACATACGAATTCGTTCTCAAATGTNCGGATTCTAATGTTGCTTCTGAACGGTACCCTCTTTCAGATTCTGCCCTTAACTTAGGCGCACTGCATATTTCCGAAAGTGATGTAGAAGTAGCCATCTGCTCCATAAAGCACTCTTTTAAATTGGATTCTGATGGCCTCTCAGGTGCTATGCTCAAACGGTGCCCATCGCTTGTTCAGCCATTAACAATATTGTTCAATAAATCTCTTTCGTCTGGCTACTTTATTGACGACTGGAAAAATGCTTTCATTACACCAATCTACAAAAGTGGGTACAAAAATTACGTTTCGAATTATAGGCCTATTTCCAAACTGGACACTGTCCCAAAAGTTTTGGAATCAGTTGTCAAACAGAAGCTCAACTTCGCAGTGAAAAGTTTAATTTGCCCTTACCAGCACGGGTTTGTTAGTGGGAGGTCAACTGTCTCCAACCTTGCTACATTCATGGAGGACTGTGTCGCTGCGATGCAGTCAGGTCTACAAGTGGACGCTGTGTACACAGACTTTTCGAAGGCGTTCGATAGAGTTTCGCATAAAGTCTTAATTAATAAGTTATCGCGATTGGGTTTTCACTCAACTTTTCTGGAAAGGATTAATTCCTATCTGTCCGATAGGTGTGGTACAGTTGCTTTTGATNTTTCACTCAACTTTTCTGGAATGGATTAATTCCTATCTGTCCGATAGGTGTTGTACAGTTGCTTTTGATAACATACTCTCCACTCCTTTTGTAGCTACGTCGGGTGTTCCCCAAGGCAGTATCTTGGGCCCTCTTTTATTTGTCTTATTCATAAATGATATTGGATCATGCTTCCAGTCTTCTAAGTATTTATTATATGCTGACGATCTAAAGGTTTACTCAGTAATCAGAACCTCACAAGACTCTCTTTTGCTGCAAGCTGAGCTTAATAACCTGCATTCTTGGTGCTCCCTTAATTCCTTATCTTTAAATGTTAGTAAATGATCCTACTCCACTTTCTCCAGAAAGCTTCTTACCGTTCAAACTAATTACAATATTGGGGGCCATGAACTTAGTTATGTCGCAGAGGTTAAAGACTTAGGGGTTTACTTCGACTCAAAATTAACCTTCGCAACCCATATTAACTACAGTGACGAGCAAAACTGTAACATGATGTAAGACTTTTTATTTCAGCTGTCGCTATCTTTCCAAGTTCTAACGACATTCATACTGTTGTTGTATATTTTTATTGGTACATCTATGCTTCCTCTGTCATAACGATTTGAAGTCAATTCAACAACATTAACAAAACCAGCAAAAATGTAAATTAAGGCAAATGTTACAGTTTTGCACTCATATATTTTTAATAACTTTTTGACAATTTTCACAAAAAAAAAGAATTATTAACACAATGTTCAGTATGCTTTTGCTTTATTTAGTTCCTCGTTGCAATTTGGCATACCTAATGTGTATGTCTGGAAAAATTCTGGAGTTATAGCCTCCCACATATCCTTGGTGTGCTTTCACAGCTCATGTACTCCATTGGACGGACTTGGATACTTAGTAAGATGCGCTTTTAGGTGATTTCGCAAATTCTCGATGAGATTCATGTCCTCGGATTGTGGAAGTCATTTCAAATTAGTAAATTTCTGCTTTTGTTCCAGTCTTTGCGAACATGTGCAGTGTGTTTTGGTTGCTTTTTCAGTACAAACTCTAATTTTTTCGACTACATCTTGCAAATTTTGTTGAAATATGAACAGATACTGTTCCTTACGCATAATACGTACAAACGGATCAACAACATTTTTGAAATACAACCCCAAACTAATATTGACCGACCACTGTGATTCACAGTTTGCCTTACATGATGCGCTTAGGCTTAATTTGGGCTTTTGATCCAATACTATGCCCGGCCATCTGATTGAAAGCGATTAAATTAGTCTTTTCAGACCAAATAACCCTCATTTAAATCTTAAAAATGTGTTTTTTATTGAATTCTGTAAGACCTAACATATCCCAATAGGCAACGGTCCGGTTTTCGTGCGATGCAGCAAAACGCTGCCACACGCGCACATGTATTTTGATCAAATTTGCTTTTTTCTTCATTTATGATCCATTTTGCTCAATTTGGCAATTTTTCGCCTCACTATCTACTGATTTGCATTCAATTTTAATACCTTAAGCGCTTCTGTAGTAGTGCCTGCAGCGCTACTTGCTACTAAGTTCACAAGATATCGGACTGTAATATATTTTGACAGACTTCCTTTGTCCTTAGTAACACTTTAGGCTATATTTTTTCTCAGTCTTAACATTTTCAAGTAGCAAATTCCACAATTTTTTGCCACTTTCCCTGCGATCCCGCCTTTTCGCTGTAAATATAATATTTACATTTATGTTTCCTGATTAACCATATTATTTACAGGTAATCACTTCTTGAATAAATTACAATGCAGAAAAAAGGCATCTGACTTCCAACTAAGCAAAAGATAACTGTAAAATGCAAAACTGAGAGTGAGTGCAAAACTGAACATTTGCCTTAACTTACATTTTTGTCTCCAGGTTTTTTTA